TAAGGGTTTGCAAAATAGTTTTTTTTTATCTTGCTATGAGGTGGAAGCTTTAGTTTGGACTATGACATGCATATAGCTAAACTTTTATGCTCTTTCAAAACATTATAAAATATTAGTACTTTCAATTACTAGTATCCAATCAAACATTTATTTAAGAAAGTAATAAAATTTATGATTGACAACATACATAAAAATGCGTGAGAAGCATTATTATCTGCTAACGTAAAATGTAACGTACAAAAAGTTTCAGTAAAATAAAACTGTAATTTTATATTGCACCGTAACAAATGTATTAAACATGGAAAGTTCGCAATACGTGGGACAATATTATTGCGTACGATGAAAGAAAAGAAAAAAGAGCACCAAAAATAGCTTTCTTTTTTAGCTTCCAACTTCTCACGTGGAGGCTACTAGTGGCGAAGGTCATTCAAATTCACCCACACCCACCATATAATATCTACTCATTCCCTTATAAATACATATGTACAGACAGTTCCCCATTACACCCAAAAAAGCTTCTAACAGAGAGAAAGTCTACGCGTGATGTGCCCACTCTCTACATTTATCAATCATTCCAAGTAAGAATCCAATCTCACAAAATCAATTCCACCCTACGTTCGAAGAGAGAAGAGAAGGACACCTCTTCTTCCCAACGACCCTCTAGTAATTTCTCCAAACCGCCACTGCTCGCGAAGATGGATGTTGGTGATTCTTACAGTCAGAAAAGTTCGCCGCATTCTATCGTGGATGCTGAGAAGGTTGACAAAAAGCCTGGAGGATGGAGAGCCGTCACGTTCATTTTAGGTATGTGTTTTTCTTTGGTTCGTGAACGTAATTTATTTTTAGTTAACCTAGTTTATATGTAATTAGTTTCCATATTTGGACATAAAACTTCTAGAAACCAGTGAATACACTTATTATGCTTGACAGATGTTTCAAAATCACTTTTTGCCTAAATCCTTGAACGTAATAGACAGAAAAAGATTGTGGCTTATGATCTTCTCAACCAATCAAGAAATATATAAAATTTGTTTCCATGTGTTTCTTCACAAAGATCATATTAAAATATATTCTTGTAACCGTCCGTCCATCATGTTTTACACTCGTCCATCTGACTACTTATTTTATAAATGAAACTGAAATATTTCTTTTAACATACTTGTTAAATTTTTTTTTTGCTGACGTTCTGTAAATAAAAATATAATAAAATGGTTTGAAACAGGAAATGAGACGTTGGAGAGACTAGGAACGATTGGGTTGTTGTCAAACTTCATGGTGTATCTAACGAGAGTCTTCCACTTAGAACAAGTCGACGCTTCAAATGTCATCAACATTTGGTCAGGTTTCAGCAATCTCACTCCCCTAGTCGGCGCCTTTATCTCAGACGCTTACGTTGGGCGTTTCAAGACCATTGCTTTCGCCTCATTCGCCACCCTTCTGGTAAGTATTAGTACTCTTCTCTTTACTTCAATTGAAATGCTAATCTTAATGTGTCACATCACATATGCACACTTAATAGTAATATTGATTCATAACATACTAACGTTCGGTAGAAAGTTATATTAGTACTCTATTTATTGTGGGGAGATGATACATGGTACGTGCCACATAATTTCATCACGCACGTGTACATGATAACTACGTAAATACGTTAGGACAAACTTTATACATAATATACAACAAAAACTATAATACTACAACTTTAAAAAAAATTCACCTCTTTATTTCATTTTGTATCCTACGAAAACGCATGAAAGTATAGAGGGACCACGCTTTCAAGGACGATAAGATCGGTCTATAATGTGAATCAGAGCATTCGGTAGTATACAGATTGTTGTCGGTAATGAACTTGGGCTCACTTTATATATCACCCAGATAGTACACAAACTGTTTTTATCTCCCAAAAATTTGTAAATTCCACTTAAGAAGTTCCGTAATCAAGTTCAACAACAAGAACAAAAAGAAATAAAGTACACAAGTGGTCGATAAAGATTAACTGTTTATAATGTGTCCAATAATTGAAATTCCAGATTGTATAGCTAACTAAGAGTCGTAGATTTGGTCAATCAACAGATTCACAGTAGTGACGTAACGTAACGTATGTAGGTGATAGTTCTCATTTTCTCAAATGTCTTTCATTATTATGGTATTTTATTTGTCACATCCCACTATATATTGAACATTTGTTTTTTTTATCAATAAATATATTCAACTTTTACAAAAAAAATAAATATATTCAACATGTTCACTTACATTTCTTTTGCCTTTTTCCATAGTTATTTTAAACATTGCTTTTGTCCAGCGATTTTTTTTTAACATTGCTAATCGACCTAAATTGTTACAATTATTATTTACTCATTTTACTATATAAGGGTCACAACGACAAAATTGATTCTATGATGTATGTCATGATCAGTTTATCATCAACCTGAACCCAATTAGAGTAATAATTAACACCTTTAATCATATATATGATCATATGAAGTCAAACCTAACCAAGACTTAGTGTTAACTAAGTTAATTGTTGTCTGTATTTGATGACATAACTTCAATCTATCCCACAATATTGTTCTCCGTTCCAAGTACTTAATCAAAGTCACACCACCTTTTAAATTTTTAATTGCATTCCCCCCCCTATAAATTACAAAACAAACAAAAATAATTAAATGAAATCAAACCTAATTAAGACTACTGAAAAACTAAATTTCCCCGCTTTATTGTTTTCATTTCCAAGAGTAACTAACAACTAGTATATCCAACTGAATTTCTGCAGGGACTTGTGACATTGACACTCACAGCATCGCTTCCTCAGCTACACCCAGCAACATGCAACAGCAAAGATCCAGTCAGCTGCGGCGGTCCGAACAAACTCCAATTCGGGATTTTGCTATTAGGTCTAGGTTTCCTCTCCATAGGGAGTGGAGGAATACGACCATGTAGCATCCCTTTTGGTGTTGACCAATTTGACCAACGAACCGAGGAAGGGATTAAAGGAGTAGCTAGCTTCTTCAACTGGTATTACATGACATTCACTGTGGTTCTGCTTATTACACAGACCGTTGTTGTGTATATCCAAGACCAAGTCAGCTGGATCATTGGCTTTAGTGTACCCACTGGACTCATGGCTTGTGCCGTGGCTATGTTTTTCGCGGGAATGAAGCTTTACGTCTATGTTAAACCTGAAGGAAGTATATTCTCTGGTATCGCTCAAGTAGTCGTGGCAGCTCGGAAGAAGCGAAAGATGAAGCTCCCGGTGGAAGATGACGGCACTGTGACATACTATGATCCGCCCGTTAAAGATAGCGTGTTATCCAAGTTACACCATAGTAACCAGTTCAGGTACTTAAAATATACGTTTAGATTTTGACGTTTAATATAATTGCATTTTGTTTAATTGAAATGCACTAGATAATTAGTATGGATTTCACGTGAATTTTATGAATTGTATCAGTTTTAGAATTTAATTTGGTCAAATATTTTCGTGTCTAGTAAATTATAAGCAAAATTGAACTTACAATTCTTCCGTTCTAAAATATAACTCTTTGAGATTTTCCACATATTAAAAAACACATTAAATTTGTATTAATTATAAATGCATTTTTGTAGTAATAATTATCAGTTTTCAATAAAATAAATCAATATTAGTTCAATAAATTCAAGTTTTGTTTTACAATTCGTTATTAGTAAACAACAAAATGTAGATAATTTTGTTTGGAAACAACTTTTTCTAAATATTTATCTTTGTGGAATTGCCTAACATTAGGTTTCTAGACAAAGCGGCGGTTATAGTAGAAGGCGATCTAACATCGGAGGGAGTTCCGGCTGACAAGTGGCGACTATGCAGCATTCAAGAAGTGGAAGAAGTGAAGTGTTTGATCCGAATCGTTCCTGTTTGGTCGGCCGGAATAATATCACTCGCGGCTATGACACAACAAGGAACATTCACGGTCTCTCAAGCTTTGAAAATGGACAGACACATTGGTCCCAACTTCGAGATCCCGGCCGGTTCTCTCTCCGTCATCTCTCTCCTCACCATCGGCGTCTTTCTTCCCTTATACGACCGCGTTTTGGTCCCACTCCTCCGCCGCATCACCGGCCATAAATCCGGTATCACACTCCTCCAACGTATCGGGACAGGGATCGTTTTCGCCATCTTTTCCATGATTGTTGCCGGGTTAGTGGAGCGCATGAGACGCATGCGCTCCATTAACTCCGGAGACCCGACTGGGATGACTCCCATGTCGGTGTTTTGGCTCTCACCGCAGCTCATTCTGATGGGACTATGTGAAGCATTCAATATCATTGGACAGATCGAGTTCTTCAACAGTCAGTTTCCTGAACATATGAGAAGTATTGCTAACTCTCTCTTCTCTTTATCCTTCGCCGGTTCGAACTACCTTAGTAGTTTGATAGTGACGACGGTTCATCATTTCTCTGGTGGTCATGACCGTCCTGATTGGCTCAACAAGAATCTCAACGCGGGAAAATTGGATTACTTCTATTATTTGATAGCGGTTTTGGGTGTGTTTAATCTGGTTTATTTTTGGTATTGTGCTCGGGGATACCGGTACAAGGTGGGTTTACAGATGGGAGAATTCGAGGAGGGCAAGAGTTTCTCTGATGTTGAGATAAGTTCCAAAAAACAGCTGAAATGATTTAAAGCAACAAGAAGATGATCGATGTTGTTTTAATGATTACTATGACAATGTATCTAAGTATAGTGTATAAGAACTAGATTATGTAATAAATTATACCCTTTGTTATAAGATCGTATTATATATTTTACAGTCTAGTTTAATTTTACGGCTTGGTCATGATACGCAATAGCTTGTATTCTACAATAGAACTCTAACAAGTAAATCGCAGCAAGTCATGAATGTAATTTAATTGGTGGACTGCACTTGGAACTCTAACAAGTAAATCGCAGCAAGTCTTTTTTGCTTTTGTAGTGATTAGGTAAACAAGTTTTCCAGCAAGAACACATTAGTAAGAGAGTTGGTGAAGACTTGCACAAGGCTTATTAGAATATTATTAGACAAATCGTTTGATTACAATATCATTTCTTGATGGTGAATGTTTCACAGGACCACATAATATACATATAAAAATGGCTAAACCTAAATTTAGAGAATAAACTTATGTACAACAAAATAAAAGATTAAAGCACCCACAATATATCACCTAATATTCTATAATCAACACTCCCATAACCAATCGTGTGCCTTTTTATTAGCACTATCTCTTCATCTTTGAGCAAATAGCCTGACCAATATTGCAAATAGCATGACGTCTAAGTAGTAGTTGAGGGAACTAGAACAACGTGCATTGTCCCACTGTTTGGCGGAAGTTGCAAACGGAGAGGAAACAACTTGCCGTTTAAAGGGTTGCGTGTACATACAATAACGTCATCCATGCTAGTCTCCTCCCTGAGCGCCTGCGTCAACTGTTCCACACTATTCCCTTTGAAAGTCAAAGCGTATCCCACGGCTGACTCATCCTCCACGTGTCCTTCTTCGTCTGCGATATGGTAATATATGACCCTCCCTTCAGATTTTGGCAGCGACTCAGTCAACTGGTCAACACAAAATCAAGAAAATGTTAAGACGTCAATCTTGAAAATAATACTTCCAAAAATACATCTGAAAAATTCAGCTAACCTAATTTTTTTCGAATTAATATTTATAATCACAAGTCCTTAAATCATTAATTAATAAAATGATAATGTCTTTACTTTTTTTTTTATCGACTAATGTCTTTACTAAATTGTTTTAAAACCTCTAATGTTCTGATTTTTATACTAACCTCTTCTACGTATTTTTCTGAAGAGGTTCTAGACATAGGAGGACTTGATGACGGCTTCCTATGTGGCGTGGGAGTTGTCGCCGGAGCTAGAACCGGAGGCGCCGTTCCGACCAAGATTTCAATGAGATCAACATCCCACAAAAACGAGTCTGAACTGTGAGGTGAGTCATGCGTGACAGAGTTACGCCAAGGAGGAAGTCCACCATTGGCTCGAAGGAAGTTGCCGTATCTAGTCCTGAGCTTCACTTTCGATCCTTCTCTCACCGGCTCCCACTCTACGGACGAGCCAAGCCGATTAGGTTTCGATAATACCACTTTACGCCCCGTTGCACCGAGCAAGAACCGCTCGTTTGAGGCGGTGAGGTAGCTACCGTAGCAACTCTTCAAACGGATCACTTCAAAGGAACCACCAACCGGCTCCACGGTCCATCGAGCTCTCTTGTCGGAACCAACCCTGTCTTGAGTCACCGTCTCTTCGTCCTCGTCCGCCATCAGATATTTCTCGTGGACGTTACGCATCCTAACGGCTTTAGCGTTGTGGAAAAACTCCATTTGCTGATACTAGTTATGTTTTTTACTAATTGTGAATTACATGTAATGTTTGGTGTGTATTTATAAGTGGAGATTAAGCCCAAGCGGCACGCAGTGACGTGAACCTTCTTCACGTGAGCCTTTTTTCTATCGTTTATTTTTGAATAATGAATAGCCATGTGATGAAACGATTTTAGCCACCAGGGATGGAAAAGTCATGACTTAATTGACGTGTTTCACCATAGCTATGGTTTCCACGTCAGCGTAGTTATATATCAATAATTTGATGTTATCCTTTTACGTATGTTTCCCCTCTTCCCCGTTACTACCAACTAGGTGTTTTGCCCGCACTTGCGGGCTTAATAATTTCACTAATAACTATAAATAAATATATAATCAAGTTATGTAAATTATAATAAATTATTGTTTATAGACTCAAAATATTTAATAATAAACTAAACAAATTCTTTTTATTTATAAAATTTTTGATCATCATATAAAAAAATTTCATTACACAACTTATATTTGAAAATACTCATAAACTTAAAACATTTAGTAATAAATTAATATCATTTTTAGACATAACAAAAAAGTATAAAAATTATCTTTAATAATGTTTTGGATAACACAATATAAATTATCTATACATAAATTCTTTGCAAATTGATTTTTCATAATTAATTATATATTAACAAATAGAATTATCTTTTCAACGTTTGTAAAGACTTTATAATACAATATAAAAAAGTTAGATAAAGATAATTATCAAATTCATGAGATTCATTTTTTAATTTAGAATTAATTATATGTAAACAGATATAATTATTTTTCAAGGTTGATAAAGACTTTATCACATAATATAAAAAAATTAAAATAAGGATAATTATCAAATAAACAAAATTCGATTTTAATTTATAATTAATTATATATTAACTAATATAATTATTTTTCAAGTATATTAACTAATATAATTATTGTTCAAGGTTAATAAAATTTTTATAATCCAATATAAAATAGTTTTAGATAAAGATAAATCTAAAATCATTGAAATTCGTTTTTTATTTATGTTTAATTATATTAAAAATTTTAATTATTCATTAAGCGTATAAACGATATTAACTGGTCTAACTTTCAACGTGAGAGTTTTAATGCAAAAAATCATTCACAAATAATAGTATAGATTACCTAAATCACAAAAAGTTACAAATTAATCAGCAAATTGACTTAAATTTAATAATTAAAGAATATATTTTTAAGATAACAATCTAATACAAAATCATTAACATATAATATTATTAACATAAATTCTTTTTATTTTATTTTATAATAACATGAAAATAAACAAAATAACCTAAAATCATGGAGAAGTTGACAACGAAGCAAATTTTTACTTCTAATAATAATTGAAAATATATTTTAAGATAACAATCTAATACAAAAGAATTAACATATTTTCTAAAAATTATTAACATAAATTCGTTTTTATTATATAATAAATTATTAAAACATGAAAATAAACCAATTCACCTAAAATCATGGAGAAGTTGACAACTAAGCAAATTTACTTCTCAAATAATGTTATAGATAACCGAGAGAAACGAGTATAAATTAAGTTATTCTAAGGTGAAGTTGAATTTATAAATATATTAGGTTTTTCCTTAAATAACTCGGTAACCGGGATCAGTCTAAGATTATTATATTGTGTAACTCGAAAGGTAGCACACTATGTGAACCAAAATTCAATATCTATAACATTATTTGAGAAGTAAATTTGCTTAGTTGTCAAATTCTCCATGATTTTAGGTTATTTTGTTTATTTTCATGTTTTAATAATTTATTATATAATAAAAACTCTATAACATTATTTGAGAAGTAAATTTGCTTAGTTGTCAAATTCTCCATGATTTTAGGTTATTTTATTTATTTTCATGTTTTAATAATTTATTATATAATAAAAACGAATTTATGTTAATAATATTATATTTTTAGAAAATATGTTAATTCTTATATATTAGATTGTTTCTTAAAAATATATTTTCAATTATTATTTTAGAAGTAGTAAATTTGCTTAGTTGTCAACTTCTCCATGATTTTAGGTTATTTTGCTTATTTTCATGTTTTAATAATTTATTATATAATAAAAACGAATTTATGTTAATAATATTATATTTTTAGAAAAATATAATATTATTAACATAATATTATATTTTTATTTTGATGTTATGTTGAAAGTTAGAGCGGTTAATATCGTTTATATCCTTAATGAATAATTAAAAAATTTAATATAATTAAACATAAATAAAAATTAAACATAAATAAAAAACGAATTTCAATGATTTTATATTTATCTTTATCTAAAACTATTTTATATTGGGTTATAAAGTCTTTATTAACCTTGAAAAATAATTATATTAGTTAATATATAATTAATTATAAATTAAAAACGAATTTCATTTATTTGATAATTATCCTAATTTTATTTTTTTTATATTATGTGATAAAGTCTTTATCAACCTTGAAAATAATTATATTTGCTAACATATAATTAATTCTAAATTAAAAATGAATCTCATGAATTTGATAATTATCTTTATCTAACTTTTTTATATTGTGTTATAAGTCTTTATTAACGTTGAAAAATAATTATATTTGTTAATATATAGATAATTTATATTGTGTTATCCAAAACATTATTAAAGATAATTTTTTATATTTTTTTGTTATGTCTAAAAATGATATTAATTTATTACTAAATGTTTTAAGTTCATGAGTATTTTCAAATATAAGTTGTGTAATGAAAATTATTTATATGATGATGAAAAATTTTATATATAGAAAAAATTGTTTAGTTTATTATTAAATATTTTGAGTCTATGAAATACAATTTATTAATTTACATAAATTGATTATATATTTATTTATAGATATTAGTAAAATTATTAAGCCCGCAAGTGCGGGCAAAACACCTAGTACTATAAATAATACATGATTTGTAAACTTATTCGTTTGTATTGATATATTCATGTGTTATTATCAGAATAGTCCGAGAAATTATCCAAAATGTATATATATATATATATACTAGTGGTATGTCCGCGCTACGCGCGGATTGTTTCACATTTGTGTTATCAAAATTTTAAATTATTTTGTTGGTTTGTTGTATAAGTTAGAATTATGGTTATGTGTTTTACTAATGGTGTTTATGGACACGTATACAAATAGTGGGATGCGGCTGAGTGATGCAACTTCAATTATTTTTATATATGATATTAGGAATTT